TTATAGAAGTTCTTGGAAATTATCTTTTTTTCATCTGTAAAGTAGTGTCTATCTCATCTTCATACCTTTGAGTAAAAAATGACATTTAAAGTTTTAATTTTTTTTTATGTTGTAGTATGTAAAACTGATTTTTCTTATTTGACAAAAAACTTGGGAATTGCCCCCCCCCCCCTTTTGGGAGGTAAAAAAAAAAAGAAAAAGAGAGAGAAAAAGAAAAAATGATAGCTCAGAATGCCTCAAATGTTATGTCTGGGCGTCTAGAACACAAAAATTTCGCGGGGCATGCCCCGGACCCCCTACGACAGTGTTGTCTCAATCGGCCCAAATTTCGGCCCCCCCTTCCGGCCCCACCTTTTGGACATTTCTGGATCTGCCCCTGATAATAATAATAATAATAATTCTGGATTTATATAGCGCCTCACGTTGACACAACCTCGAGGCGCTTAACAACAGAAGAGAAGAAAAAAAAAAAATCCAGACACATGTATTCTGTTTTTCTTTTTTTTTTTTTTTTGGGGGGGGGGGATTGATTTGGAATAGATTGCTAATTTCTAAAATAAAAGGACTTCATAGAGGGTGCCACAATTTCTGAATGATTGAATGGTTTAAAAAATGGTTAAAAAGTTTCAATCCAAATGAAATAAATACTTAAGTTGGCTCATTACTTGTTCTCTCATCTTTGCTTGTGCTGCTATATACTTGCTCTTCTTTCTGTATTTTTCCTTGTAACCTTTATTCCGGTGGTAGCGGCAAATCCAAGCTCCGGACTTGAAACGAAATGCTGCTTCCTTACAGTCACCTATTCCGCAGGTCTGTCGATCGCTAGAAGTTGCAGTTCCATTCACAGACTTTTCCCCGGTACTTTGTATGGACTCACTTGGACAGCTTTGCTCTGCCATCTGAGAAAGAGAATTGTATGCCCACTAAGAGCAGACAAGGACCCCTGTTTTTTTCCACTAGGCCTATATTTTAAAATTTCAATGCATATATTTGAAATTAGAGCTACTCACTTATCTATTCTGAATATGTTGTGCCTCCCCATTTGAATATTTTGAATCCACCCCCAGTATAGTCATAATGTGCCTAAATATGGTCATGATGTGCCTATATATGGCCATATATGACCATATTTAGGCATGTGACATATATGGTCCTTTCTCCATGTCTAAAGCTGGGTACTCCGACTACACCCGATGGTCATTGGCCGATGCCATTCTATTAAGAATGCAACGTGACAAACGGATCTTTTTTAATGTTGATCCGTTCAGACAATCATCAGACAGAGTCGCATGGTTGAGGGCTCAAAGTGAGCTGAATTGGATTTATTATGTGACCGTACGACTTAAGATGCACCACAATATAAAGTTACTCTACAGTAAAAACTAAAGGATCTGGGCCTGCTATAAATGGTTTCATGCATTTAATACTTACCAGATGTATCTGCATGTATGTTATTGTTCATTCATCCCAACTGTAAAAGGAAACAATAGTTAAAGTTACACATAAGAAAGAACACTGCATATAGGAAAAGGGTAATTTCATGGATGAATTCATACTAAATTTGCATTCGGTTTTCATATACCGGTAAAGGCTTAATCAATTAAATACGGCTAATTTCCTTATTCAATTTACTTAGTGAATTGATTAAGGAAATTCCATTTATCGCACATGTATATATGAGTGATAAGTGGAAATACATTACCATACTGTGTATATACATTATGTGGAAATTCATATACAGTAGGAATATATATAAGGCCAAGTAAAAAAAAAATTAGTTTCTCGTCATAATATTTTGAAAAAAGAAGAATGAGAGCACCTTTTTTACTTTTTTTTACTATGAGAGGGTAAATCAAAGATAGATGATAGGAAACAACTACTACTTCCTCACTTTGTGAAAAAAATAAAAGAAGCATTAGACATGATTCATACCATATGTAGGCTATACCCAACCCTAACAATTGCGAGAGGAATTTTACTGATGCGAGATTAGCTAGAATTTCGAAAATGGATGCACAAAGGGGCAACAAACTAGTAATTTAAAAAATATTTTTTTTGACCTAGAATGGTTGATAAGTGGAAATAATCGATGGTGATTATAACATCCTAATATAATTAACAATTCTATAAATAAATTACGAACTGAAGATTCAAATCAGTAAAATAAAAGTATCACATAAAATAATTTCCTAACATACTCCAGTCCAGGTGAGTAGCCGTCCAGGTAGGCCTAGACCTGTACCAAATACATTACCGGCTTAGCAGTTCTCACTAGCACTGCAGGCCTACTCCAAAGCCGTCAGCGGGGGCGGACGGAAAGAGGCCATAGAGTAGTGTAGGAAGAACTACGTACGGGACTAGCTAAGCTAGGCCTCTAATTAATTGCTTTTATCTATCCTTAAATACAACCTATTAAAAATTATTATTATGCCAAGCCCCAAGTCTAAAATTGATTATATATTGCATTGTCAATATTATTTATAAAATACAAATCTATACCTAGTTTTAAATCAAATCAAAAGTGCCCCAAACACACTTTCTAAAACAACATTTCAGCGCACTGAACTCGCTTCCTTCCTAGCTCTGTTTTTGACGATACGGTGATGGCGGCTCCACCAGTAAATACTCATCACCTGACAAGATTTTGGTAACGTCACCTGATTAAAGTCAACAACAGTCTCGTTCTCATCAATTGTTGATCGCACCGTAAAATTTATAATTTCTTGTGGTTCATATTCACAAAAACACTTTCAAAATTCTTATTTTCATTTCTTTTATTAAAGACATTTATACCGGAAAATTATATACGTTGTTGCTGTTCAATTGGTTATCGAGTTTGGGGTTATATCGTCCTCAATCAGCAAGCCGAGCCCTGACTACTACTGCTGCTGCTCATCATCATGCAGAGATCCCCACCAGAGTCGACATGATTATCGTGTGCTACCAGCAGTACGCGGAAAGATGTGGTATCGTATTTAATGAACAATCGGATGTTGATATAAACTTCTAAATACGGATTTGCAGGATATCGAGTTGTGTTGCTGTTGAGAATACATACAAAGGTATGATGGTATTTTTTCCTATTGTGTAATTAGAAGCGATTTAATAACGTGGATGTTGTTGTCTAGCTAAGCCTACTAAAAAGCTAGGCCAGGGCAGGTGATGTGTTGTTGGTGTTGGTAGGAGTAAATTGTGGTGGTGGTGGTGACGGCGGCGTGGGATTTCCGTGGCATGGTTGCATCAAAACAACATTAGGCCCTGGTCTAAGATTATGTATTATGTGTATGTATACGAACTGTGTGTACCGTACTAATTACACAAATCTCGATCAATATAATTAACCCTAATTATTATTATTAATTAATTACATAACCTGCTGATTTCAATTAAGTATTGATAAATAATTGTACAGTTACAGACTAGGCCTAGCCTATTGATTGTACAGAACAGGCCTATACCAAAGCATTTTTAAATGTTTTGAGGTCATTGCTAGAAAATATTGACCAGAGCAGGGGAGCAATTTAAAATCTGGAAAAAAAAAAAAAAGCCTTAGAATTTAGATTGTGTAATGACTCCTGGCCTCAGGCTCCTGATTTTCTAATCAGTGCCAAAATATCTGTACAATACCGGTAATTACTTTTAATTATTTTTATTAATTACTATATAACCATTCTCCATAAATATAATAAGTCACCTTGTTACTAATCATATTTAATTAATTTCTTCTTTTTTTTAATAGGCTTTTATTGTTTTTAATTAAATAGAAAAACACATTTGCTTTACACAAGTGGTGAAGTTGTCAGTTCCTGTGATTAGTTGGTAATTTGCCAAAAAAAAGTCTTTCTGAGCCAATTGACAAGTTCAAGCAACCTGTACCATGCTTAAGTTTAGTACAAACACAATTATTTTTCTAAATCGTCCTTCAACTTGGTAAAATGTAATCACGGTTCTGCTATTCCACCTGAATCCATTTGCTCAAGGACAGTGTACGCATTTCCTGTATATATTTTGTTACATATTAATCACAAACTTAGGCCTATTATCACTTTGAATTTATAGATATTTACAGTAGTAAACCATTATTTAGCCCTGTCCAGACTATCAAATTTTTATTTTATTTGACAAGAATGTGTGACAGTGACATACCTAAATATGGTCATGATGACATCACATCATGGCCATATTATAGGCACATCATGACTATACAGGCACAGTTTTTTTTTAAACATGATTTTTTGATATGTCAGTAGCACATTCAACAGGCTTTGTATGCAAATATTGTTGATAAATTTGGTGCACAAAGGAAAAATGGACACAGAAATACTCAACTGGTACCTACTGTGAAAGGAAACTAATTAGCCATTTTCCAATATTAGAGTGCTCTTTGAAAATTTGGGAAACCAGATTGCATGAAAATTTTTTAGCCTTGGGTTGTAACGTCTGCCCATGAGCAACCATATTCTTAAACAATTGTGACAAGTACATTAGTGTCTGTCTGTTTCCAGAGTCTTTTTGTTTTATTGTCACAGGAGTTAAATGAGATGGCACCAGGACAATTAATCATTGTTTTAATGTTTACACGTTTTTAATGTTAACGAATAACCAGTGTTGAATGTGAGAGTGGTCCATTTGGTTTGTCCAAAACCTTTTCATTGTCATAAAGAGAATTAAGGAGTTTTTATCAATGAAGCACTTAACCCATTATTGCCTGCCTTGGTAACAGTCTGGTAACCCCCAAAATACCTCCTGGTTATGGGTCTGCATAACTAATCTAACATTTGGGTTCATTGTAAGATTTTAAATGTGTTTAATTTAAACTGTGTGATTGAGTATGTGTCCAATTGAGTTTTCTGAAATATGAAAATTGAAAACCAGATTGTTCTATGTTCTTTGAATTTGCTTCTTTCCATCCTTGTAACTTCCTGTGATACCTCCTATTGACTTGGCTGGTTATGCTCACTAGATACAGTACCCAAACTTGCAGTTGACAGATTATGTTATGTCTGAGCCCTAAAAAAGGTGCAAGCATTTCATGGCATATGATTATTGGGAAGTAACCCCCTACCCAGAAGTTTTGAGCCTTGTCTAGTAAATGTACCCCGTTTGAATAAGCGCCCCTCTCGAATAACCGCCCCTCCTAATGTGAAAATTCCCTTAAGCGCCCTGTTTGAATAAGCGCCGCTTCTAATTTGAATAAGCTTTAGCAAGTCAATAATCCAATCAATCCTGGGACTGTGGTTTTTGGCAAGATTTGAGCTGTATCGTGGAAACACATTCTTCTTCGGTCAATATCAAAATGAGGATATTTCTCTTGGACAGATGAGAGCTCCGATCCCTGGACAGACAGTATATTTCCAACTTTACTTTTTTTACATATTAGTCTTTGCCTAGTCCTACTCCTCTTTTTCTTTTTCCGACCTTTAGCACATTCTCATCTGTGTTTTCAAGAAAAAATACAATGATCCTGCCATCCTGCTAATCTCAATCGGCCGATGGCTAACAAGCTAACCACTACCCACCACCACTAATTGCATTTGTTATTTTGCTGTTATGTAAATATTCACGCATTCTTGTCATGAGCCATGTTCTATGGACGATTACTGTATCTTTTCCGACTAACCAACATTCTTAATGTCCTTATAATCTTTTTTTCATTCAAAAAGTGCCTCTTGAATTTAATAATTTCCCATAAGAACCCTTCGATTTTCATCTATTTTTATAAGCGACCCCTCAATTTCCACTCTGTTTTCATAATCGCCCCGTTTAAATAAGCGCCCCGTTTGAATAAGCGCCCCTCAGAAAGTTAAAAAAATATTTTAAGCGCCCGGGCGCTTACTCGCTCGAGTACGGTATACCAGACATATTGAGAACTACCATTACTAATGGCCCCGCACAGTGATGTGCATCAGCGGGGGTCAGGGGGCTTAAGCCCCACACCGGACAGGTGAATCCTCCGTCGGACAGAGTTATGTCGGGCAGTCGGACCATAAAATATATGAAAATAGGCCCACACCAAGCCACCACGTCTGTCACAGTCTGAGTGTGCCATTTCCGGCCATGCAGCGGTTCTTATTCTTAAAAAAATCTCATTTGAGAGGGCCTACGAGAGTGAATCTCCCCATCAGATAGCTTATCCCCCCACCCCACCAAAAAATATATTCTTGAGCTGCCACTGACTCCGCAACCTACAGCCATAGTGGCGCTGGTTTGAATGGCATGCTTGCCTATGATTCTGGTGATGGAACAAGTCTTCTTGGATAAGCCGTAGGTCCAATGTACACATTTTTTTTCATACATGTGCACTTTAAAGAACACAGAACATCTTTTGAGATGAGTTGGGGGTTACCCCGGTGTATTGGTTCATACAGCCTCTGTTGTGGACAGATGAGCGACAGCTGGTACCGGTTTACCGGGTACAGTAGCTCAGAAATGCAGAGACACTTAGTGGAGAAGAATAGTCACTGTACAAGCTAGTGCATGCCTCAAGTGCTTTGAGACTCTGTGCACTATATAAATTGAACTACATTACATACATTATTAATAATTGAGACCACTGCACTGTAGAGATAAGGAATTACAAGAGGGAATATCAACATCTTACTAAGCTTTGCCCACACTAGATTTTTCTCTGACAAATTTACCCATATATGGGCATGATGATGTCATATCAAACCCATATATGGGCACGATGATGTCATATCACACCCATATATGGGCATGATGATGTCATATCACACCTATACAGTAGGCATGGTGATATATACAACATAATATATATAACACCCATATCATGCTTTTATCCCTTTAGCCAGGACACTATTAACTGGTCCTCTTGTGGGACACCATAGATGCAGATTGAATCCTATCCATTGAATATTATTCAAAGCTGTCTTTACCATATAAAATTTCATTCTCCTTTTGAGTTAAAGTGTTTCTCATAATTTGTATTAAAACAATCTGTATTTTTTTTTAACAATGTTAAAAATTTTAGCTCCAAGTTCCCAAAAAATATTAGATAAATTAAAAGTCATTGGAGGAGAGGAAATGAAATGAATTCCCTGAGAGCTATATTATGGCAGCAAAATATACGTCTCCAAAACGAATCATCCGTTTCCTTTAATTCAAGAATGTATGCAAAAAAAGTATTATTACATGAACTGGAGTTTAAAAAAAATTGTACTCTGCTTTGTTAGCATGTTTTGTTGTTTTATTTTAATGTGGATTTTAGACACGATTCTTTTGCAATCTGGTAGAAAAGGCACAAAACGAGACTTCTTTGTAAAACTTGTTTTAATAATTGTTCAGAATAAATTAAATTCTCAAAAAAGTATTGGGGGTGGAAGATGGATGGGAGAAGTATATTTTATTGTTGAATGCAAATGTGTGAAGTAAACAGAGGTTCCCCTTGTAAAGGAACTGTTTGCAATATATGAAATGTTTTAGTATTCTAATTAAATGCTTTATTGCGGAATGAAAATATAAGAAAAATTATTTTCCTGAAATATCCACTTTGTCTCAAATAACAAGTGCAGTATGAGGCCAACAATTAAAAAAATATATTTTTCTTCGTCATCATTATGGATTGATGCCAACAAATATAATTATATTTATCTTCGTCATCATTATGGATTTTAGACACAAGGAATAAATTAAGCCCTGTTTAGGTTGTTGTTTGCCTATGTATAGTAATCATGTGCCTACATGATCATGATGTGATGTCACCACGACCGAATTTAGGCATTTTGCATGTTTTTGTCAAAATTTAGTAATGTGGACAGAGCTATAGTCACTTACTGTACAGTATTTGTAGGATTGAGCTTCAGTACTGTATTACTGTATTAGAAAATCCACTTATTTATGTTCAGG